ATGAGTTGAAGTGCTTCGCCTTAGTTTGGCTATCCTGAGCAATAGTACCTTCGTTCAACAGGGTGGGTACAGTTATATTGTCTTTTTTCTTGGTTTCGATAACACTTCAAAATTCCTTTGGGCGATCTCTGAGCCTTGTATGAAAAGTGGAAAAAAATTATATGTTTAGCTTGCTTCACCGCGACCTTCATATTTGCTGTCACATGGTTCAACTTGTCTCTTGTTGAGGGTGACGGATGCGCCGTATAAGCAGCATAGGCACGGTACCTGCGCATATAGTTACCATGCTGACTTCTTTAGTACACCAAGGCTTACTTTTGCTGTGGCGAGTCGACATTGCACACAATCGCACGTGTTGTTTTCCACAGTTTATGTGCAGTTTTGGTTTCAGCCAACGCTTCAAATACGTCATAATAATTACGAGTGCTTGAGAGATGGCGCTTGTGTCGGCTTTTGAATAAATATACATCAACCTGCGGTCACTACTTTTACGTATTGTATATAGGTTTCACATACCATACGTGTATAGATTGAATACTTGAAGGCATGTTAGCAAATAATGCATCTAGTATATTGTTCCCGTGAGTTGGTTCCGATACGCATTGACGTAACGAAAATGACGTGCAAATGTTCAGCATTGCATTCCTTGGCACGTCTCTTCCCGAAAATTCAGTGCACAATGTGACCAATCAATTCCAGGTATGTTAAACTCGCCACCCAAGAACAGGCAATTACTTTCCACAGTTTCTAGAGCATTAGATAGATCCTGAAGTTCTTCCATCGAGCTGCCAGGAGGGCATTAAAATGAGCATATTATTATCATTTTTCTGTTCTTGAGCCTCAGCTGCGCTCATAAAGATTCACTTTGAATGTACTTTACATCAATCTCTCGAGAGATAATGTTTTTATCGACTAGTATGAAGACACCACTTCCGTGGTTGTTGCGGTCCTTAAGGTAGCAGACGTAGTTTTTGGGGAACACTTCCCAGTCAGCAATATCTTTGCTAGGCCACGGCTCTGTGCCAAGCACTATGCCGGGTATATTCATGTCCAGTAGGCTGGAAAATTCATTGATTTCGTTTTTAATACTTCTGCAATTTAAAACTGAAATTGAGAGTGGCTCTTTAGATGTTACGTGTCATCTGTGACGTACCACTTGCCCTAGTTATTCATCAAAGGTGTATTTCACGTTGTTGAGATAAAGAGTGTCGTATCTCAGGTGTGCTCTCTCGCCCTCTTTTCTGTTTGCTTTCGCGAAATTCTACAACTCTTTTTTCTTTCTTCACCTGTTTTCTGAAAAATCCTTCGATATGCCCAACAGAGTACCCTTCAGTTTTCTTACATTGTTCAGTATCACGTGTTTGTCTTTTTTTTTTCGAGGAATTTCACAATTTTTTCCTGTGATAACTTACCCAATCTAGGGCTCTTTAAAAGTGAATCTCTTGCAAACCAACGCTAGCCTGACATATTTACGAGATGTGCTTTTCGCATGATACGTACGTCTCGTGCGGATAGTTGTCATCTATTTCATATAAAACAAGATTGCCATGTCGTGACCTGTCTTCAAGGTTATTCATCTTAGCTTCTAAAAAATTAATTCCTGCTTGTAGCACTTCCAATTTGGCCTGCAAGCCAATTCAATAGTAATCCCTATTTTGATGCAATGCTGCGATTATATTTAACGTTACATTTATCCAGTGATATGGCGGCAACCTTCCGGCGTCATTTCCGCTCGTAATAGTTATGGCAAGCGCCACTACGAGTTATGCAGTCAGCACCGATGTTCTCAAGTAGTAGAGGGTAGATATGAATGTGGCCTTAGCCATAACCTTAGCCGTAAGTCCGCCCTTTAAAGAGCCCTCTAACGCTTGAGAACATCGGTGCCGACTGCATAACACATAGCGGTGCTCGTCAGAACTACCGCAAGCGGAAATGATGCCGAAAGGTTGCCGCCATATGATTGTATAAATGCAACATTAAATGTAATCACGGCATTGCATCAAAACAGGGATTACTATTAGATTCCTTTAATCATTAGCATGATTTTTAAGCGACAGAGAATAAAGCTCTCCGACTTTTCCAGCTTGAAAACTGCCAAATTGAATGGTCAAAGAATGCGCCGAACGCCATGTACAAGAGGAAACACGCCGGTGATGCTCCGGGTGCCGTTGTTTGCAGAAACTAAAAGAAAAAATTGTAAGAGCGTTGATATATATATACGTCATTGCAATAAGAAAGATCAGCAAAGCTACAAAACATTATAGAAGCGTTCACGAGCTGGCTCGTTTTGCACGTGTCGTTCCCTCAAGTACCACATTGTTTGTTACCATCGCAACGGCGTCCTTGATACGCTGGACGTAACAGGCAATATGTCATGCGAGCTTCCTGTATGGTAGGGCTTCCAGCTCATTTCATTGGGCAGCTTTCCGACGTCAGAGGGCTAGGAAAACACGGTAAGGTGAGCCCGCGAAAATTGAGTAAAGGGTAAGCATCCATCTCATTGTATTTTGATATCTCTACGCTGAATAACTTTGCACAGCGTGGCCCCATCGCTGCCGTTGTCGCGGCACTCATCTCTTAGCCATTAGTGTGAAGAAACAGCTAGAAATGCATGTAAAACTATGAAGTCGTGAAAACTGTTAGAGGACCCCTTTAAGGCCGAACTTATGGCTAAGGTTGACTTAAGTCATAAGAATAAGTTTAAGCTGGGCTTGTGAATACGTTGTTCGCGTCAAAACAATTTCGTTATACTCTCGTGAAATAAATTCGTCACTTGGTCATGAAGCATGAGGTTTCTTCAGCATTGACACGGTTAATTAAAGCAGCAGCGAGCGAAAAGGTGACTGCGACTATATATGATTTCCTGTTTATATCCGGCTGCGATTACACACCATGTATCGGACAGGGCTGTTCTGGCTGCGGTGCACTTCACGAGCTTTTCACGTCTGTGAGGATTGACAATCGGGGAAACATGCCGAGTCTGTTTACGGTCTGTACACATTTCACGGCCTCTACTGGAGCCTCCGAATACAGCCGCGGACCTGACGAGTACGTAACCGCATTTCCCCAGCAGCATGTAGTTGAAGCATTATCGCCAGCGTATTGAGTAGAGTACATACCCGAAGCCGTATGGTGCGCATGCGGACGGGCTGTTACTATTTGTTTCTTTCCTATAATTGAGACAAAACTGTCCAGCTGTTAGCTCCACTCCTACACTGTGCAGTTGCCGTCTCCGTTGCACTAATTTAATAATGAGTAGAATCACACGGTTATAAATATGGGTTAAACAGAATCTTTAGGCCAAAGGCAATCGGCGTATACCACGATGTACCTTGTGAACTATTTATAATGCAACCAATTAAAAAATGAGAACACAAAGTACGCTATATTTTCAAACTCCTTAGTTCTACATATCGCCCTTGTATGCTCGTACATCGACAGAGCAGGGCGTGAACACAGTATCTCGCAAAATAATACTTATATTCGAATTGCTTGATATTACAGCTGTGTTATTCCGATGTCAATGTGAAAAAAACTGAATTTCGCTGCTTATATTTGCCCGCTTTCTTAGCTAATTAATGGCTAAGATGTAGAAAGAGAATTTTTTTTTCAAGATATTCATTTCTTGATCAAAATGAATCCAACAGACAGTAAACAATCAAACTGTAAACAAGGCTGCCGCGTTGGAGCCGGAACGTCTAGTTTTGTTTCAAAGTGTCTATTGTCGTCAGAGTCCCTCTCCATTTTTAGATAATTGACCAATAAAAGCATAAAAAATTTTAGGTAGTATAGTAATCATGACGTAAATTAAAACATGTACAAAATCATCTCTTTCATTGGTGGGACCCGAGCCCACAACCTTCTATGAACGTGTATATGATGCTCTACAAATTAAGGCACCATCAAATGTGTTCGCCCGACCGCTTTGTTGAGTATTTCTGTGCGTTCAAATCGTAGGAGCGTAAGCGAGAGTCAACGGTAGCCAAGGCAGTGAACGTGGAACACTAGGATTCAAACACGTGTCATTCGAAGATAGTGGCTTCAAATCCACCCTACAGAAAAGGGATGCTCTCTCGTTCACCTCGATTCTTTTACAATTTTTGTCACAATTGATATACTACAGCTAATAAAATAACAAATATACTCACCTATCCTTTCCTTTGCCTAAATGTCTGTTCGATCCATTTGGCTATCGTTCTTATAGCAAATAGCGCTCAGCAAAAGAAAGATACTTCCTAAGCATGGCGGCAGGTGCTAAACGAATCACCGAAGAGCAGCGTTTGATCACCAGGCGACCGCATTGAACCGCAAAAGCAGACTATGTTAGCTCAGCGGGCTCTGCGCTCATCGGTCGGTCGAAAACGGCAGGCAGCTATGCGCACCAATTTTCATGTTTCAGTTAACGAAGAATGCCCATTATGACTCGAACTGGATTGCGCAATGATAATTTCGCGTACATACACCAGTAGAACAGTGTTGTGTCGCGTGACCACACCTGAAGAGTTTCCACGTCCGATTGAATAGCACAAAATTTTGAATCAATTTCGCTACAAAAACAACAAACAGATTTGAATCGTCAGATTGCCTGGATGATTATGCAGTCTTTACATATTTACTCTCTTGCACACTATCGCACGTAGGCTGCACGCGCCTTGAGCAACGTTCACGTTCGATTGAACCACGTGGGAATCCGACCACGTGCTGCAGCGGGCACATGAGCACTGCTCAAAACGCCCGCATCGGCGTTGCGGCACATAGGCTGCCCATGTTAGCCTAATACTTACAAGACGTGCAATAATGAACGACGTTGGGCCTGTTGGTACTGCATAAAGGGAAGAAAAAAAAGAAAACCAGCCCTTAAAAAGACGGGGACATGAAAGAACGTTGCACGATCTGCTACTAGAAAAAGCGACATCGTCTGTCGTTCATTCGTGTTCCCGTCTCTTAAGCGCTAGTTTTATTCTTTACTTACAAGACACTCTCTATATGCGAATACTCACAGCCAAGGACACGTCGCTCAGCTTCATCCAGGCTCTCTCTCGAGGACGGGCACCAGCAGAAAAACGAGCGAAGGCGCTCGGTGAGGGCAGTAAAGAAGCAGCTGAGAATGCGTCGCACCATATCTAGCAGGGTCTTCTTGTAGAAGCGCCACCTACGTGGAAAGGGTCAGATAGCATGAATTAGATGATCTTTGAGGTTGCGGAAACAGAACCAGACACAACGTTCGGTGTTGTGTCAAACACCAATATCAGCTTTCTCATACCTCTTTCTTTCTCCAGAGACGAGGTGTAGATTTAAAGCTCCGTATAAGTCACAAAAATTATGGAGAAATATGAAACCCGTGATGATAAGTGTGTTCAAGAGGGTGACAGAGAGAGGGGAGGGAACCTCTTCTTGTCACCTAATGGTGAATTCCATTGGGGGAGCAGGAGCATTCAAAAGCATGCTTAAAGTGCTCTCTTCAGAGCCGGAGTGTATCAGTGGTCGAACAGGTGGACGAGCACTGCCACCCATTGGTAAGCGAGAGTCCTTTTGCTGCGCCAAGAGCAGCCAGGAGCAGTTTGCAGTGCTCTCGCCTGAAAAGCGGAGTAGCCGCAGTACTACGAGTCACGCGGTTCTTGAACGTCACAGCCTCCAAATTTTTCTTCAGCCGGCGAGCGCGGCGGCAAAGGTACAAACCCTGCGTAGTTTGCCAACCCTGTTTTGTACGCATGGCTACGATGAGAGGTGCGCGTTTGCCGAATGAGTCATTGCACAAACATACTAGGTATTAGGATAATGAAAAATATGTGGCTGACCAATTTCATGCGTATTTTGTTGCTGCCCCACAATGAATATGCCGGGGCTTGGAATATTTCAGTCGCATGGTCTCCCTACTCGTCATCTCCTCACATGCCCCCAGGAGTGGCAGGTTCCAGTAGTCCTGCTCTCAATGCTCTGCCCCCTCACTCCTCAGTGCCCTGCCCCTCTACTCTTGTTCTCTCAGTAAAATTTGCCATAAGAGGAGGGTCACAGAATCTGCCCCAAACATTAACCAAGTAAGGAGGCAGTGCTGCCAAAACCTTGCACCCTCGAGCACCTCCTCTGTGCCTGCCCGGCCTTGGCTCAGGAACGCTCGAGGGTCACCGCAGCCTACCGGAGACATGCATGGCCTTCGTGCCACCACCCTGGAGCACCTGCTGTTCCCATCTCGTCCCCATACAAGTGCTCCGGAGCCTGGTAGAGTTCCTGGACGAGACGGGAATCGTGGCCTACCGCTGAGAACGGGCCCCTTGCCACTCCTACCCTTGCTTGCGGACTGCTGTTCGTGCTGATGACGACCGAGCCACTGCTCACTTGATCTTTTTCTCTTGTTTTGACTTTTCTCCTATTTTCCTTCCCCGCAGGCACTGCGCCGTGCTCCCGACCGGGATGCAGAAATTAGGTGCCTTTCTCCTCTTCTAACCACTACCACCACCACCACCATACGCCCGCGGTCTTTTATGGTGGTGTTAGGCCGGTACTCGTTTTTTCCTTCGCGCTCTGTGTAGCTCCTCGGTTTTCATGCTGGGATCGAACGAAGAGGCCTCTGTAATGGCGACGTTCACGTCCGCTTCTTAGCGTCCACCTAGTGTCAAACACCGACGCCACGCGAGCTTGTCTCTCGTGGCGAGGATGCCATCGACGCTGGAGAGGAACTCAGCGTCAGGAGAAGAGCTCGAGCGAAGTTCCCTAATATCTCTCAACGAGTGGTTAAGCGACATGTTGCCGATGACCTCACCCATTCTAAGCGTCCAGCGGAACTCAGCATACCAGAGCGGATCCTCCGGCCACATCTGCTCTTGCCGAACATGTCAACCCAGTTGCCCAAGTTGCTCCAGCGTAATTTTGAGTGATGAATTCCTCACCGAGGCGATCAGGGTTCCGCTGCTGGCCTCGGACGATGACGATAGCATGGATATGTCGAGCTCGCACAAGTGCGCACGTGAAGACAGCTGTGATGAGTGCGAGCAAGGCACACGGAAGCAGGTAATTACAGATTACCCAGCCCCACTCCCACACGACCACCGTGATGATGGCTTTCATATTTCGAATCTCACAGCATCCGCTCAACAAAAGAGCAGTGCAGATATAGGTGACACCTCTGTTACACTTCCCCGAGTGTGGGCAATGGTCTTGTTGCACGACCTCTCTGCTTCTGGAGGCCGATCGCATGGAGGCATCTGCTGAGGCCGCGGAACATGGCACCGCACAAGAGCACGTGTCATCCACCCCTCCAAACCCGCAGCAGCAAGCATTCCTGCGGGATTACCCGTGTATCACGAATGAAGTCGCAGGCAAGAAACTCAAAAAAAAAGAAAAAGAAAAACATGAGACAGCAGGCAGTTGAACAGTACACACTCTCAGGTACGAGAGAGAAATACACGGGGGCACGGTGTTAGAATAGTTATTCTAACACCGTGCACGGGGGATAAAGGCGGAGCCTAGTGACGTCAACAGGCGAAGGTAACTCCCCCAAAATGTCCCTCACTCACACGGACGAGGTGAACGGTGGGGGAGATCAGTGTGGCCAGAGCCTCCATCATACAATGGAGCGGGAGCACTGAAAAATACTTTGACCCCCAGCCATAGATACCGGCAAGCTTTCGTCTTGGAAGAGGGGGAGGGAGGGTCATAAACGCGTTGTGTCTTGAGTAGAAAAGGAGGAAAGCGCTTGAGTTTTTGAGTGCGGAAAGCGCTGGTGTGGTTTTAAAGAAGTGCCCGTTTTGCCCCCCTCCCTTGCCACTTTGCTGCCTTTAGGAACTTTCTTGTTTATATGTTTTTTGTGTGTGGAATGCAGACGCGGTTGTGTTCTTGGTTTGAATTGCCACCACAAGCTTTTCTTTTTTGCAAAAAACGAACTCGCCCAAAGTGACATTTCAGGCAGCGTCATTGACAGCGGCTTTTCTTTTCTTTTTTTGACTATGAAATTGCTCACAGTCTCTCTGACTCGTCAAATACTGCTATTGAGTTGGTAGATAGGAATTTCAGTACCTTTCGATATCAATTGGCTTTCTGTGAACAAAGGAATTGTAGCATTCCCCTCATGAGAACCGAGAACGGAAGGGATCTAGCCTATTAACATTTGACAATTATCTGTGCAAGCGTTTCATTAATGTTTTGAAACAAAAGGTAATTCGCAACTTTCAGAGGCTATAGGGGGCGCCACATTAAAACCAAAATGGCTGTCAATGCGGTGATCCCCTGCCTACAGGGTACTAGAATGTTCCTCTGCCTGCGCGGAGCTTTCGTCACAGGTGTTCTCACTGTGTGGTTGCCACCGCTTTCGGCTCGGATTATTTTCCGTGGCATATAAATTCCCACGAAGGAAGCAACTCATGCTAGAGTGCATAAAGCGTGGGACACGCGGTGTGATCTTTCACCTGATTCAACGTCCGACACGCTCATGTAGCAGCCAGTTCGGTGACGTTCTGTCACACTGCATTGCCGGATCGGGAATCCAGCGTGCGTCAAAGTAGGCAGATTGTTGTCATTCACTCGGTCCGGCGATCGCACTGCCGTATATTGACAGTGTTAAAAACACGGGAGACGGTTGACGTAGAACCACTTGTGCTACTGGTTGTTTCTTTACCACTCCTATCATTTTGACCGAGGGTGCCGGTTTCATGCTAGCGTTTCATTGAACAAATTGTTTCATTACACAAACTAATGCTTAACCCAATTAACTTGTGCTCCAGTATGTCACTTATTCAAAACAGCACAGGCTTACAAGCCACGAGCGAGATCGGGAACCACAATGCTTGGGCATTCCGCAGGTAATCATGTGACACTGCAGGCCATCTCGCCCAACCAGCTTACTTTGCTTCGATGTTCATATCAAGGTTGTGGTTGCGTATCTCGAAGCAAGCATAAAACTAGAAACATATATCACGTTGCTAAAATTTGAGCGCCCCAGACAGGCTTGAGCTCGATCGCGGACGGTGGCGGTGTCGGCCTAATATGCTGTCCAACTGACACATGCTGCTCGCCTATGTCAATTGCGGTGAACTGTTAAGTGTTCTTCACTCGCAAAAGCATAGTAGTATTTAGCGTGTTATTGTAACCCCCCCCCCCCCTCAAAAAAAAGAAGGCACTCGCCTGTTGCCTCAGGATTACGCACCATGGTATAGCACAGCACGCTAAGTGCAGCGGTGATGAGTCCGGTGGCACGGGCTAGATTGCCAGCCACGGCGGTGGTATTTCAATAAGGCTGAATGCAAAATAACAAAAAGGTGCTAGAATTTAACAGTACTTTAAAGCCCGCCAAGTGGTCGAAATGAATCCCGAAGTCCTTACTACACCGTCTCATCACTCATCATATCGTGGTTTTTGTAAATAAAATTCAAGCAATTCTGTTGCATCCCAGAATTAACCACATTGTTATCATGATAAGTTTCAAGATGAGCAGTTCGCTAGCCCATGGCTTTTTCCGTCGCCAGCCGTAAAGAAAACCAAGCACGCTTATGACGCCTTTCACGGTGTGGTTTGGCCATTGCAGCCCGCAGCACACGTAATTGTTCTTGTATTATATGCCCATTATGAAAGCTAAAAGGTTCCACAACCTTGCACAAACAAAATTGATCGTACTTCATTTCCCGCACGCTGTTGAAGTTTAGAGAGACTCCGCCGACTGTCCTGGTTTCTTCGCGTCCAGGCAGGTGAACGAAGACCTCGCCTTCAAGAAGAGCTGCTGTTGGAGAGAACCGAACTCAAGTTCCAAAGAGGAAGACAAGAGATTTAATTACATTTGTACGGAATAAAAGTTGGTTCCAGATCTCTTCTCTCAGGCATCGGCTTGCATTTTTATCCCTCCTAAAGTCCCCGGAGTCCAGGTTTAGGGAAACCGGGGATGACGTCTTCTGCCAATTTGCTAGCTAGCCCCACTTGCCACTATGCTGACCCCACCCCCAATACACACACACACTCGTAATATTCTTGCGAAATCGTGTCTTCACGGAACACATGCCTCCAGCATGCTGGATGCGACGAGTGCGTCTCCTGGGAGCTCGATGACCACCCGCGGTGTCGACTAGCGGCCGCAGGCCCGGTTCGCCTCTCGCCCCAGAGCATGAGTCTGGGCAGCTGGCGTGGATCCGTGCGCAGGCATCCTGTCAGCCGTTGACACATAGCCGC